CCCCTCCACCTCCTTCCCCAGCGTTTTTCAGTTGTTTTTCATCTATTATAGGGTGTGCCGAATAGGGGCTGTGTCCTGGACTTCCTGTTCCTGTCCCCCCTTGTCAATTATTTGTATTGTTTTTATTGTCTATTCATGTTTTTCTTGGAACGGGTTGTACAAACTAATTTCGTATCACCTCTGGTGCATATGACAATAAAGTTCCTTCCCTTCCCTTTCCCTTCCCTTTTTTGAAAAGAGGTACCACCACCCCAGTCTGCCAGTCCAGAGGTACTGTCCCGGACTGCCACGCGATGCTGCAGAGACGTGTCAACCAAGACAGCCCCACAACACCCAGAGACTTGAGGTACTCAGGGCGGATCTCATCCACCCCCGGCGCCTTTCCACCGAGCAGCTTTTTGACTGCCTCGGTGACCTCAGCGCAGGAGATGGGAGGATCAGCTGCTGAGTCCTCAGCCTCAGCTCCCTCCGCGGAAGGCGTGTCAGCGGGATTGAGTATTTTAAAATTTTCTTATAAATATTTCCGCTTATGTACTTCTGGGTAGATGCATTGTGCAATTTGTTGACATGTAGCATAATGATGAATTAGAATCTTAAATGGATGTATTAGAGGCCAGTGACCTGCAGTCAGCCCCCTGCTGGCCAGCAGTGGTAGAATATTCCCAGATGACTATATATACACTAGGTAAAATCACAGACAAACTCGATGGTTGTTAAACTTTGAAAAATTGAGGAGGATTTGATCCCATAAAACTCACAGGACAAACCATGACCTGAAGCCTAGTGGCAGGAATGGGAACAACAAGGATGTTGTGTGTTGATTTTAGTAATTTGATTTCTTATTAACTCGCAAAGCGTGAGCATTGATGTGGAGTAAACCAACACTGTAATGTTAAAATATTGAATTCAAACAAGTAAATAACACCTTGAATGAAAAAAAATGATTATTTTGTTTTTATTAAGAAGGAGCGAGGCTGAGAGGCAGCTTTGTATTTACAATTTATATTTTACAATCTGAATATGTACATACTGTATATATATGTCATGTCTGTCTGTTTCCGTGTTTTCCTGTGTTCTTTGTGGGGTAATCATGGGATCACACTCACCTGTTTGGTAATTAGCTTCACTTGTGTCACCTGGTGTTCCCTGTGTATATATACCCCTCTCCCTCACTCTGTCGGTGTTGGATCATTGTGATTGTGGTGGTGTGTGTTTGGTCATTGTTACTGTGTTGGATCTTCGTGTTCGTGAGTTTCCTACTCTGTGCTTCCTCGTGTTCCGTGTTTTCCTCGTGTTCCTCGAGAGTTCCATGCCTGTTGGTTCTTCGTGTTTTGTTGATTTGGACTTTGTTAATAAAACTTCCTGCACCAGAAAGAGTCTCTCCAGTACTTCATTTGGGTCCTGCCTGCTCCCTGCGATGCCCGCACCTGACAATATATATGGCTCTGAATTACAGTTTTACAACAAATGTGTTAAGATCAAGGGTGTTCAGTGAAGGATCCTCTACCATATATACTGTATGTATAAAAGTACATTGTTATTTTGCATTTAGTATAAAGTTATACAAACAATACATTGAGTTATATATTTATATATTTCTTTATATGTGTATATTTATTACTTTCTATGTGTATACATATATTTTTTATTATTTTATTTTAAACATGTGCAAACAATATTGAAAACTATGTATTACTGCGAACTGACTAGTAGAACCCACACAGACCTCGTGTTGATAACTAGTTCCCTGGTTTGTTGGATACTTGGAGTGACATAAAAACATCATCTAAACATATCATCAATACTTTATCTGAAGCCATTTTTGTCGTATTATCAGTAGTTTTGTCCAATGTTTCTGGAGAGAATAAAAAATAAACTTTTTGGAAAAACTTTTAATCACCTGAGCCATATTTCTGCGGGCCCCTTTGTTGAGTACTTCCTATTAAGATGAGGCCGATATTTCATGGTTTGTGTGTTGTTGGAGTGGAATAAAAAAAAATCATCTAAATATATTTTGTTGATTTTTCACCTTTTCAAAAGTTTGGTGGAGAGAATGAAAGTTTAAATTTTCAGTTAAGCCGAAGGAGCTGCTTTGGATAAAAGAGCGCCTACAGATGGTCTGTCACTGGTATTGTGCTAAAACACACTCCGGTCCTTATGTATAACTTACTGTTGACGCTGCTGTTTTTTTTTTGTGTGTCACTTCTCGACAGCAGCGTGTGCCACTAGCTGTTCATAAAATAAGAGTACAGAAAGTAAAAGTTTCCCTGTAAACGTTGTAAACTTCTGGTAAACTTGGTGATTCAGTGCAATAATAATGAAGACAGTGCACAGGCTCAGTGCGTCTCAGACTGACGTGGATAAACAGGGATGTTGTGTTCGGTGTACGTGGGCGGAAGATCATCGTCACAAACAACAAAAAAGTCAGATTTTAGTTTGTGCGCTGATGATACGGATAACGGCAGCGTTACGAAAGCATCACCTCATTATAGGAAGGCGGGGGTCCACAATAGGCGGGGTTGTACTGTGGAGGTGTGAAGTTCTCCTGGCTGTAACGGGGAACGCTGGCCTCTTCGATGTCTGCCTGTGATAGGCTGCGTGGGAAGGGGATGAAATATATAGGAGGTTGGCGACCGTCTTGCTCACTGCGTCTCATCACCTCTCGTTCTATCTCCTCCTGCCGCAGGCGGCTGCAAGCTCGACAGAAGGTGGTGCAGAACATGATGGAGAGGCCGAAGCCCAGAATACCCAGGAAGATCCTGAGAGACGAGGAGAGAGACAGAGGCTGCAGGATGGATGGATGGATGGATGGATGCCAAATAATTACTCTAAAAAAGGAATCGAGCCAAATGGCAACATCACTGTGTAGCTGTGGGTACAAATGTTCAGTGAACCAGGATAAGAGAAACCACAACAGGAACCTGAAGGAGAAGTAAGAAAAACGTGAGTTATTCTCTTACAATATTTACCTCTATACATATTACAATGTCATCTGCAAATATTGTGACCACAGCGCTTCTGCCTGACCTCAATGGTCTACCTGTTCACCACCATTGCAAACAAAAAGGAGCCAAAAGAACTCTGATGTATCCCAACCCTACCTTGAACCCATCTGTCACTCTGACTGCACTGTACTGTATAACCACCGGCTAGCTGGCCTTAGGAACATCATTTACTCTCTTATATATTTCTCTGCCACTAAAGACTTCTTCATATACAGTAGTACTACAGTCTCCCTGTCATATACTTTTCCAGTAAGACTAATAAAATTAAAATGTGTTATATTCTCTTATTAGCATTTTTCTAGCTTTAAGCACGGCCTTACCCTTGATTTCCTTGTGCCTTCTTACGCACCATGCGGTGATTTTTTTTATACTACAAATACTTTGAACTTAAGAGTCATAAATGCCGACATCAGGTACATTTGTCTATGTCCTACAGTTACCCCACGTTTACAGACAGTTGAGCTGTAAAAGACACATTGACGACACTTGTCTTCCATAACACCCGGGACAGACCGAGGTCACAGTGAAGTGGTGAGTTCAAGGTCTCCGCATCAAACATTAAACACATTTTCAGTGTTTTTATGAGAAAAAGAAACTACTCTACTGTCTTATAAATCTAACGTTGATATCAACACCCACACCTGGCCCGAGCCCAACTGTCACTCTGACTGCACACTTCATCACTGTCTAACCTCAAGCATGTCCTGCACCATCCTCACATACTTCTCCGCCACTACTGATGTGTTTTCTGGAGCTCAGTAAAGACAGTGTCTGGACTTCTACAGCCCTGACAGAGAACAATGTGTATCTGAAGAACTCTGGACACAAAGCTGAAGTGCTGATCTGAACTTCTTATCATTATATGACTCATAAACCATTATACTGCACCTGTGCCACTAGCCACAGCGCTATAGCTCCTTGATGTGGCCCACTGAGTTATTGCAAAATGTTTCTGTTGTGATAAATTGTTTTGTTTTGTTTTGTGATGACTAATGCTGCATGTTTGGAAACTGTGGCCTGTGGGCCTAAAGAAGACAGATCTTTTAGGGTCTTTCTTTTTTTTTTAGGAATCACACTCTTTTCAGTGCCTTTATACTAAATTCCTTTTCACATAGCAAATGAACATTACAAATGATATCATTTTGTGTTACCAAATGGTATTATATTTAAAATATATAACAACTGCATATCAGATTTTCAAAGGCCTGATGTATTCCTGAGTACCTCAAATTGTTTTGTAAAAAAAAAAAAACTACGTAAGATTACAGAGCTTTTGTGCATTCTACTCATGGTTAGCTTCAGAATGATTCATTCAACAGGTTTTTATACATAATCAGATTAAGGAGAATTGTGTTATATTTAGCACCGTTAGCTACATTACTCCTACAACAGACATACATAAACATTCTTCTTTATCGACATCTTTCAATTTTTGTTTTGTAGAAACTGAACTTTGATTATTTTTCACATCATTTTTAACAAGCAAACAACCAGAAATGTCTAACATACGAGGTGAAAGTGTTACACGAGGTGGTCAAAACGTCAGATAGTGACTTACTGGCGATGTCAAAGTTTTGTTAAAATCAACCTTGTTGACGCAGGTTCACAACCAGGAAGAGGAAAAAAGAATGATCGGACTCTTACCTTACGAAGAGATGACTCTGGTCAGGTGTAAGACTGGGAGGAAGAGAAACTCACAGGAGCAGAGTGCAGTTACTAATGAGGGTGTGTGTGTGTGTGCGTGTGAGACCTCATGTAGTAAAGCCCTGGGTGCAAAGCTCAGGATAAACATTAACTTCTTACTCTGATGTGGGAATAAGATTGTTCTGTTGAAATAGTTCTCGACAATGTGTTTACCATAAAAACACAAGGGTGATCAACACATGTTCACAATATATAATGCCATATATTAACCTGGACTAGAAGTGTGTGGGCAGCAAAACTTTATGACCTGGACGCTGTGTTTTATTGTGTTTGTGCCAAAGGTCCACACGAAGAAATTTATGACAACGCCAGAAGATTTAAAGGGACAGTTGCCTCTTTATATCAAGCACTATTATACATATATATACAGTATGTCACAAAAGTGAGTACACCCCTCACATTTCTGCAGAGATTTCATTATAATGCTTAATTGAACAACACTGAAGAAACATCGCTTTGACACAATGAAAAGTAGTCTGTGTAAAGCTTATATAGCAGTGTAAATTTATTTTTCCCTTCAAAAAAACTCAAAATATAGCCATTAATAGCTAAACCCCTGGCAACAAAAGTGAGTACACCCTAAAG